GAGCCAGAATGTAATACTGTTTAAGAAATTTAAAATTACTTTCACAATTTAAAAGTTGCACAATCTCCACTTCAGATAAAAAAACAAACAAACCAGAATCAGTAGTAGGGGGCAACAGGCTTAGTTCATATTCAAAACACGTTTTTGTTTTAAGAGTGGAGCAAGTATTAATCTTTGAAGAGAATGAGTATTCTGACATGGGATTTTTTTGTACTCTAATGTGACTGTTTAATACACTAATGCTCTTTTACTGAAACTTTCCAGGCAACTGATCTTATCTCTCTCGTCTCAGTTTTGAAGATCTCTGTCTGATTCACGAAACCAAGGTCACCCATCGTCTTCTAATCCGAAAACACGAGTTTCAAGGGCAAATAACTGAGTGGGAATCAACTACCGATAGATGACCTAAGATTCTAAAACTTCCTACGCATATTTATATATATATTATTTGCTTATCTAATTAACGTATTCATAAGGGATCTTTATAAAGAAAATGTTAATGTGACTTATGAAAACAACATATCAACATAACAGGAAAATGATGTTATATATCTTTTCCGATCTGACAGAAATTGTATGAAGCTGAAATTTTGTGTGGGTATAAGACAAAGTTGTAACTTATATTCAATGCTTTTCTCAAAGGATTAAAACTGGATGAAATGCTAATTCTACTTGAGTATAACGTTGATAAAAAACTTGTATTTTCATAGTATTATTATAAAAGAATGAAAGCTTACCTTAAGTCCGACGTATGTTGAACTCTCCTACAAGAGAAATATAAAGATACAAAATCTTCCATTGACACAAAAACACACCCATATATATGTAAACCATTATAAAGATGCCGCGTTGTGCATATTTATAGTGACTGAATTTAACTATGTTATTGAATATGGCGTTTAGTACTGCGTTCAGTTTCGGCTCCTTACCTTAGAAAGCATTGAGGTGCTGGAAAGGGTTCAGAAGAGGACCACTATGATGGTAACTGGGATAGAAAGGTTATCATAGGAGGTTGGATTAAGATATCTGAACTTGTTTTCTCTTGAAAAAAAGATGAGTTACAGGGGATCTGATTCAAATGTTTAAGATGCCTCATCTTTTTTCGTATTTAGTGGTGAGAACTGTAAGACTATGAGACACAAATGGATTTTGGCAGCGTAGAAATCATTTTTAGCTAAGACAGCTATAATTTTCTAACAGGGTGTTTGGACTTTGGTACTGTTTGCCTTCGATTATGGAGGATTCGGTTAAGTTAAGGGAGTTTATGGGAAGGCTTGATAAATATTTAGATAATAAGGGCTGGCTTTCTTAGTGTTTAGTTTAAGTTAATGGATAGGTCAGCCTAGATGGACCAATAGGTCCCTTGTTGTCCTTTAATGTTACGTTATGTTGGTAGTAGATTATGTTTGTTTGTGTGTGTAATTACTGTTATTCATTGCAAAAACGCCCATAAAACCCGCAAAATGCAAACCTGAAAATTTTTATGTACCCCCCGCATGGACCCAATGAACCTCCATACCACATTTGGTGAAGATCCATCCACAGGAGGTGAGGTAGTGGTAAAAAAACAAAAAAAAACGCCCATGCAAAAACACAAAAGTAAAATTTTGTATGTACCTCCGCATGGACCTAATGAACCTCCATACCAAATATGGTGAAGATCCATCCACACTCTGCGAAGTAATTGCATGGACATACAACAGACAGTACTATTATATTTATATAGATTAGATTTTGAGGTCAAATTACTGTTTTGCATAGACTAGATTTTTCTAGTACTTAAGTAACCAGATAACATGGATGGAACTAGGTAAGTTGTATATCCAGCCAAAAGTCGTGAGAATACGTGAATTAATTACAACATTAATTCATGACGTTAGAAAAACACGTAGGTCCAAGAAGTCTTGATAGAAATGAATAAAACCCCTATAACCCGATCGCTTTCGAAAGGTGCACCTTTCTTCTTCAGGGGAAAACGTTTTGATTCATTTCTTACAACATTAGTTGTTGTTCATACCTAGACAAGTTGACTGTGAATACCTCTACATATTTTAACTAAGGTTCAGGTAAGTTATCCCTATTTCGAACTGTTAATCAAAGGAAGAACTAGTAACAGAAAACCCGCCGCCTATACAGCTATTCTTAGTTTGGAACTACATATTATAAAAATTCTATTTTGACAAATCATTGTTTAATATGGTGATGCATACGACCTATAATGTATGCTTCATTGTTATTCGACATGTGGCTCGTATTATTATAATTGTTTTTCGTGATGATGTGTTGTTAGTTTTATTAAATGTGTAGCTGTGTGTAAGGCGATTAGGATCACCCTATCACATCAATACATCTAAAGAGCACCCTGTACAGAAAAATCACACCGATGTGTCTAAAGATCACCTTATCACAGTCAAGTCACACCAATGTGCCTAAAGATTACCTTATCACAGCCAAGTCACATCGATGTATCTAACGATCACCCTATCACAGCCAAGTCACATCGATGTATCTAACGATCACCCTATCACAGCCAAATCATACTGACATCTTTAAAGATCACCTTATCACACTGACATGTTTAAAGATCACATTATCACAGTCAAATCACACCAATACGTCTAAAGATCACCCTATCACAGCCAAGTCACATCGATGTATCTAACGATCACCCTATCACAGCCAAATCACACTGACATCTTTAAAGATCACCTTATCACAGTCAAATCACACCAATACGTCTAAAGATCACCCTATCACAGCCAAGTCACACTGACGTGTTTAAAGATCACCCTATCACAGCCAAGTCACATCGATGTATCTAACGATCACCCTATCACAGCCAAATCACACTGACATCTTTAAAGATCACCTTATCACACTGACGTGTTTAAAGATCACCTTATCACAGTCAAATCACACCAATACGTCTAAAGATCACTCTATCACAGCCAAGTCACACTGACGTGTTTAAAGATCACCTTATCACAGTCAAGTCACACCAATACGTCTAAAGATCACCCTATCACAGCCAAGTCACATTGATGTGTCTAAAGAACACACTATCACAGCCAAGTCACACAGATGTGTCTAATATGGAAGTAAAAAAAAATATATATCGATGTTGTGATATATTGTCGTTGTCCTTCAGAACATTCACAATGTAGACTTCTGTAATAGTTTAAATCACAAGTAAAGTCACAATTTTGGCTCGGAGAAAATGTCACAAATTTTTAATACCCAAATACAATGTAAAGTAATATAAGAAAAAAAAACATTTTAAGTTAGTAATTTATTGTAATAATAGCATATGTACGATATGTAACATTATATGAAAATTACATGACATACACACATTAATAACACAACTTGCATTACATGTATATTCAATGATACAAACACTCTGTTAACTTGACAACTATATTTAGATATATATATAAAATGTAGATTCAAGTGCACTTTTCAGGCATATATGAGGTCAATCATCACATGAATGAGTGGAATAATCCAATAATTTAACTTCTATGAACTTAAAAAATTATAAATATAAATTTTCAAATTGTGACTTTTTTCCTACTTTTTTATTATCATATTTTAAGAAATTGAAACACGAGAAAGCTGATGGAGCTTTTTTTTTAGATGCACATTTTTACGCACATTCTGGTTCCCATTACGAAAGAGTGAATGAAGACGCACCGTTTCTTGTTTTGGAAGCAGTATTTATAAGATTACGCAAGTAGTGTGTGTGTGTGTGTGTGTGTGTATGTATATATAAACCACTAAAAAGAGGGGTTGGGGTTGGAGCTGGTTATCTAGTTTTCAACAGTTACCCTCTATAATCTATAACGAAACAATTTAATGTACTTTGATATTAATTCTGTCTTGTACTGATGTGAAAAAAGGTACTGATGTGAAAAAATTAAGATATTATGAATATAAATATAAATATATGTGCGTGAGTAAATTCATGCAGTTATGGTTTGAAGCCAAGAACGTGTAAAAGAAAAAAAAGATAAAAAAGAACGCAAGCAAGATATCAGCCAATAAGAGCAAAGAGAAGAAACACGCCACTCGACACACCCCGTGAAACTTTCGTAACTTTTCTAATAGTACGTGACTTAAAGATATTCTTGATTTGATATTTAACACTAAACTCATGTCCTGCAGCCATGCAGGGAGGGGGGGGGGTCGTAACTTAGCCTTGTTTACAAAGTGAGTGAATCACGTGGTACAGAGCGTGTTGATTACGACAAATACATCCTGTCTGTGTGTTTCAGATTTTTTTTTTAATATGACGTACCGATAGTAATGCTTAATATATTTTACTTTGCATAATGATGAAACTTTATACGAAAAACTACAAAAACAAAATACATAGTAGTTTTTTTTAGATAAACGCGAAATAGGCTGCACCAAACATACCGCTATGTTGGAGCAAACAGAAGAGTGTTGTTCAAGATACACTGGGAAACTATTTCCATATATTTATTTACGAGTAAACGTTGTAGCGTTGTAATCACATTAACAAATGATAGGAAGGGGAGGAGAGTAATTTGGCATATTATGAAGTTGGATTCTATCTTTGGCAGCAGCAAGAATGGAGCTGACAGGCTTGCATGTAGGTTTCTATTTTCGAAGTAGTTTTAGGTTTAGCAAAATGAAAACCCAGGACTCTTTGCTTGGAGAAGAAAAATAATATCAAATTTGAATGTATGACACAGTTACTAAGTTTATCCCGCAGCCGTCCATAATTGTGAACTATATACTGACCAGAATAAGGACAACCAGTCAGCCTATCATCCACGCTAATGGATTGATTGTCACTTTTATAACGCACCCACAGCTTAAAGAAGGGGGGATATTTTGCGGTGCACGAATTCGAACCTGAATAAAGTGTCTACTGCTTAGTAATCGTACTTACTTATCAAAATTTCATTGTCTATTTACTGCACATATACCATTATGATGTCACTTCCTTTCACAATTACGTCATGGTTTCTTTTAATATTGCGGGTTTTTTATTGTTGTTTTTTCTCAGATAATCATATTGTTTCTTCAAAGTGCTGTACCGATGGCATTGCAAACTTGAAAAAAAGTATGATATTGTTCATGCTTTGTTTCAGTATAATCGAACAGTGCAAAAACAACAACAGAGTGTGTAATCAAAATTGTGTTGAGTAATTGTTATTTCAATAAGGTCTTTTTATACACACAAGAACGTATCACGCATTTATATAACTACTAAATTTATATAAATATAATGGTACTGTCTGTTGTATGTCCACGTAACTACTTCACAGGGTGTAGATGGATCCACACCAGAATTGGTATGGAGGTTCACTGGGGCCATGCAGGGGTACATACAAATTTTAAGTTTTGCAGTTTTTATGGGCGTTCTTGCGTTTTTTACAGGTTTCTTTGTAGTTAAGCACAAAGCTACACAAAGGGTTGTCTGTGCTCTGCCCACAACGGGTATCGAAACCCCGTTTATAGCGTTGTAAGTCCGCAGACATACCGCTGAGCCACTGTGGGGGGAGTTTTTTTTTGTTTTACAATTACATATAAGGGAAGCAACGTTTCATGTCCTAAGATAACCTTTCTTTAGTCATGAATTTACATAATTTCCGTCCAGGTGACTAGTACTCCAGCTAGTTTAAAATATATCATTGTTGTGTTGTTGTTGCTGCATCTACCATCATCTCTATTGTTCTTAGATTCTTAGTAATGATATTTCCCATCTAAATGACCTAAATTCAGAATTGGATGC